GAAGAGAGAATAACATTTACATGTATGTGTACATGTAACAGACAAAATGGAAACCGATAGATACATGTAAGAGGGTTGGGGGTTCGAGAAATATTGTGTTGGAAAGACTGTTTTCCTTTTCAAGTATAGCACAGAAAATGATTCTTTTTATAAAAGAATAAAGACTGGAAATGTACATTGACCATTTAAGCATTTTGCACAATGTCAGCCATTACCTCAGTCCCAATACTTGGAGCATAGGGGAGAAAACAGACAGAGAGCCATTAGGAGAAATCAACAGTGTTAAATAACATGTGGGGAAGTGACCACTGCCCAATCACCATTGAAAAATGTACATGTAGGCCTATATGAAGATACACCTACATGTACATGTAGGTGGTCTCTTGAAGAAGCTGACTGGGGAAAATTTGTCAAAGAATGTACATGTAAGCCGTATTACACTGAAACCATTGATGATACATACACTAATTCATGTAGCAACTCAATCGTGTAATGACTGGTTCCATAACCAAGATCAACCCTATACAAATAAACCTCCCTCTTCCTGGAGGAATGACTGTCAGTGAGTTATTGAAAACAAAAGGAAGGTTCTGAAAAAAACAACGACAAACAAGACTACCATCTGACTTATAAAAGAGCCTGTGCTATTGCTGAGAGAACTGTTCAAACTGCACAAGAAAAGACTGGGAAAAATTTGGCAATGTTATCTGGAATAAGAGTACATGATTTGACCCTACTTACAAAAAGACTTGAGAGTAATAGTGGCATCAATAGTACATGTACATGTACATTACCAGTGATAAAGGTAAGGCTGAGGCACTTGTTGACAACTTTGCTAAAACAAGTAATACTGAAATTACAATCCCTCTTTTATCAATACTAAACAAGAGGCTACAAACAATCTCAATTTACACGACAACAATGATAGTGTTATTAATGAACCATTCAATATAACAATATAGTGATGAAACATTTTCCCACAAAACTCAGGAATACTCATTATCTTCAATATGATTTGGCACACTTTCCAATGTCCCAAGACACTATCTTTATTCTCATCCTCAAACCAGGAAAAGATCCTGGCATTATGTGAACCTTTCATTTATGGCTCTCACTCCCAGTCTCTGCAAACTAATGGAATGCATGGCTAAAGTAATTCCCGTCTCCTCTGGTGTATGTATAGAAACATAAAACCTTTCCATTCATCAACAAAATGGGTTGCAAAAAGGGCAAACTCTAGTTCAAAAGACCACATCCTTAATCTTGAATCATCCATCAACAAAGCTCGAACTAGCGAGGAGAAGTACTCTTGCAGTTTTCAATGAAATTGAAAGGGATTATGACATGCTATAGTGCAAAGAAGTTATGAACTCCAAACCATGGGCCATCATAGGGGAATTTATTCTTGGATAGATAATTTTTTTAGTAACAGGAAAATCCAAGTAAAACCAATGGCACCTTTTCCACTGAAAGAATTCAAGAAAATACGGCCCACCTACTCTTCAATATTGCGGTCAACGATCTCTCTCACAACCTCAAAGTATCTCAAAATGCAGATGATATAGCAATTATTGGAAGTCCAACAAAACATCTTTCCTCAAGAAGAAACTTCCAGAAAAGTCTTAATATTCTCTGTAGGTGCAAAAAGGGGGCTTCAGGCTGTTCCATTCCATGCTATTCACGGACAAAAAGACCAACAGCTCTCTCTCTCTCTCTTTATCCAAAAGCCGCTCAATCCAAACTTGGCTATCAGCCAAAGTCCCTAGTGTTATTCTTGAGTATGGATGTGAAGCTTTTCATTCAGCTTCCACTGCAATGGAACAAAAAATCTGGGCAGTATTCAATATCAAACTCTCAAAAACTGTACTGGACCTCTCCAAGGCAATCCCAATGAAAATCCAATGAAACTGTAAGGCCTCATACATGTAGCTTGTGGTGTTAACGTTGATGGCCTGTTGAGTATTTTATTGATTGTTTCCTTCATTTTTAACAAGGTCCAGCTGGATTAGAGATTGGGTGCGTGTCGGATTTTATATGTATCTATCTGATATTTAATAGCGTGAGTAGGATTGTACATGTACATTGTAAATTATGGCCACCTCTATTGACATGGTCAAGTGCCTTGTGTCAAAGTTTAACTGCAGCATTAAAACAAACAAAAATACGACACCCCAAAGACCAGTCAAACTTACTGGCTGACACACAAATTTAAATTACAGAAAAGGCATTCTGTCCCTTATTTGCTCAACAATCAAATCGGTCAGCATTCTTTAAACACTATGGGGTGAATCAGTATTCTATGAATACTGTTCGACACAACTTGTTTTAGTTGACACTCAGTTGAAACAAGATCATGTTCTCCGGTATCATTTCAAACAGATTCATTCCAGCATGGTAATGTTGGTTTCACATGAATACAGGTACATGTAGGTACATGTACATGTACATGTAAGTGATTAAGCAGATCCTCGCTGCAAGTTTTCATAGAAATTAAGGCTGCCAGATACATGTAACTGTAATTTGGCTTGACACTGTGCCAGTTTCTACAAAATGTCTTTTGAGCCTCCTGTCGAATTCATAAAAAACTGATGTTTGACCACAAAGATCCCAAGGGTCCCTATTAAGCCACTTAGAAGTGTGATTGCATACCATCAGGTCCTTATATCTACAGAGTAATGATGGATTACTATCATGAGTATGGAAAAGGCTTGATATTGTTAAGAAATCTGGCAGCCTCTTTTTAAATGTACATGTACAATGTACCTTGGATTTTACCATGAGAGAAATGTGTGTCCTCCACTCCATCACATCAGGTACATGTCCATGAGTGAAAGGACCGCATTTTAATGAAGACCACACATCTGCTCTTTTAAGGTTCGAAACTGTTTTGTTGAAGGTTACAGGTAAAAAGTCACAAAGTTCAACGATGAGCATAATGGGAGCAATCAATGCAATTTAATTTTTTTTTCAACAATGCATGAAAAACAAATATTTGGTTGGCACAGACCAAACTGTGTTTCTTTAAAATCAACTTTTTTATCAAACAGAAACTACCTCTCTGTTCCTCAACATCAATCTGAACTTGTGCTTCAAAGTATACCGAGGGGGAAGCCCAAATAAGCCATATTTAAGATTTCAGGGCCCACTGGGGGCTTGATATGCCCCTTGAAAGAACATCAGAACAATCAGGTTCCTTTATACAGTCAGGAATTTGGAAGCTTAGTGGCCAATTACATGTTGTGAAAATGGCAAATTATCAACATCCACCAGGATGGCACTTAATTTGGACCTGTGTTTGAACAGCACATGATGGAGTGGAGCACACTGGCTCCTAAGCTCTCTGTCTCACCTTGTAATGTCAGTCCTGTCAGTGTGATGAGGAAATCTTGCTATTGGTCCGAGAGTACTTCTTGCAACACAAACAACATGCATTCAAAGGATTTTGGTGGCATTCCACAATTGTTCATCCTGACAATGGGAAAATAAGAAAATGTGATAGTTACTCACTAATCAGAAAAGGATGTCATTAATGTTTTTATGAAATAAAGGCATTTATTTGCCCACATACACAAATTTCCTGGTTTCCTGGTTTCAAATTCGTTAAAATAATACCCACCGAATAGCAGTTACTAACCAACCCTCGTATCGTCTGGTAGGAGAATAGAAGAAATAGCTCATACTCTCCCAATAATTCTGCTTCAAAATACAAGTCACAAATTCTGTGGCACCTTCAAAACACCCGCCATTGCAAGACTGCGTGCACATTTAGAGCACGTGTTGTGGCCTCAGACGCAGAAAAGGGGACTGGTTCCCGCCAAGAGTTGTGAACTGCTAGGTTGGAAAGATATCTGACGGAAACCAGTCAGTTTGTTTTTGTTTTGCCGATATAATAGAGCCTGGAAGTTGATGCCTGATTCCGGAACCCTTGGATAGGAAAATAACGTGCTAAGATTTTAGAATTTTTAAGATTTTTTAGATCAGTTTCTTCTTTGAAAAAAGGGCTTTGAAATGTATTTGTTAACAATATCAATTTATAGAAACTGAAAAATTACCTGATCTAAAAGGGAAATATCCTGCCAAAAAGTTGACCTACAACCTCCGAAAATCTAAAATACATGAAGAACTGTGCAATGCCGCAGTCTCGTACGCACATGAACATTTACAATTTGAAGTTTTATGGTAGTCTGTCAGTGAAAGCCGAAAAAAATATTTTACTCAGTTTTATCATTTATAAGGTAATAAACATGAAGCAATATTCTACTTTTACGCAAGATTCTAATATTTTATCTAACCTTTGTGACAACAAATGTGGAATGTTTACTCAAAGGTATCTGGAACCCATCGACTGCAGGTAGGTCAATCTTTGCAAGGGCAGATTGTACAATCTACCTCATTCTCAAGAAATCACGGCGAGTGAAAACAAACACGTGTGCATGAACAAGGAGACTTAGGGCAAAACGTACATGTACGACATCGCTAGACATGAAAGGTCGTCAATAAAATTCGTATACCCGTCTCCAGGTGACTTTCCCAAATATTACTGAAGAAGTCAAAGGTAAAATTCCAACATGAGTGTTTAATAGGGTGGTTTCAGTAAGGCATTACACTGTATTCTTCCAAAAATTATCGAACGTGATCAATGTAAAGTCCCCAAAGGCAGAGATCTGGGGAAATCAAACATTTCCTGTAGTTTTACTTCAGAAGATCTGTTGCGCCGAACCCCAAAATTATGCCATGTGACCATGAACAAATATTCTAGGTATCTTTGCATCAGTTGAAGTCCACTTCAAGTGAATAACTGACTTCCCCGTGTTGACCAGTCCCATTTGCCATTAGGTTGAAGCATAGTAGTCAGTAATGAAACAAGATTGTTAATTGGTGGAAAGCTGTCAGCTGACTGTAACACATGTGGTAAATGCCTGCTGTAGGAGTGTCTCAAAAATTGGGAACTTTCCCATTCTGTTGGACCGTTCCAACTGGAACGTTTGTGTTCCATCATGTTGTTCCAGAACATTCCAGGCAGCGTTAATTCCGTTGGGAACACTTGTTTCCTATGGAACAGTCCTGCCATTACATCATTAAGGTAATGATACCCCTTTGCACCATACAGCACTTACAGTGTATAAAGAATGAAACTTCCCTGAAACTAAAACCCACCTATTCAAAATGCGCTTTCAGAATTGAGGATGGTAGAGCCAACCACTCTTAATTTTTATGTAATGTTGTGTCCACTGAAAGTTGCATTTTTTTCTTTAAAGTGGAAGATTTCTATGAATTTCAGAAGGTTCAGTTAAAATTATCCCTGCCACTGAAACCTTTATCTTGTTTTTGGAGCTAACTCAACATTAAATACTGGAGAAAAAGTTTTACTGACAACCCTGACCTCATCCCACAGACTTCTTCTTTCACTTGGTGTTCTTTTTCTCCTGCCCAAATCAGCTGCCGCAGGTTACTTGATTGCATGACCTAGAATGACGGTGGCCACTGCTGACTTCCACACTGATTCCAGAGGAGAGGACAGGGGTCCAGATGATCCTGATTTGAGTTCTTGCAGTAAGATTTTAAGTTTTTATCTTAAAAAGTTCAAGTTGTAAACTTGTATGGTATTTTACAAATTGTCACAATATGAGTTTTGCCAGTGCAGATGTATGTCAAAGAGATGGTATTTGTGATAATCCTTAGAATCAGTTACATGTATCTCCATAGAGGATAATTCCGAACACAAATAATGCAAATATTGTGTAACAGTAGCACCTTTACATTTGGTCAAACTTTTTTTGTGTATGAATTACCAATGAGGCTAGTGACAGTGTGATAAATTTCCAGCGTGGCATGGAATTGCCCTGAAGTTAACTTCATTAGCTAGATGAAGTGGATGTTTTGGAACCTGATGACGCGGTAGTGTTGCCTCTTCAGTATTGGTTTTGGGTGTGTGTTTAATTATATAACTCTTTCTGAATGTTATTTTTAAAAAATGGCAGCACAGCCATTCCATGGTGACTCGTGTGACATTTGAACAAAATGTTGAGTTTTAATGCATTACCGTTGCTAACATGGCACTTATTCAACTCAAATTAGCACGTAATTAAAACAAGACATTTTTTATGTATCTCTTAGTTTTTATTTGATCACTTTAAATGTTTGTTGTTTTCTTTATCACGGTTTCTTTGACGTGACTCACGTGACAGGATAGAAATGGGGATTTTTCATATCCCTTGATTCTAAAAGCATTTCCTATGAATGTTCAAGTGTGCTAAAGTAAACTTTTACTGAACTAAAAACTTAATACTCTGACCTAATCCACGCATAGGTTACATTGTGCCAAGTCTCTCTTGTTGTGAGAAATGGCCTGAAGAAAATGTGACTCGCATGACACAAATGCATGACTCGCGTGACACAGTAGCGTTTTACTTTTACACTATAACTGTAATAATAGTAAAACAAATCAAATTATAATATTACATTAATAAAACTGATGGACCTGCAAACATGGCAAATACATTATGGAAGAGTGTGAAAATTGCTATTTATCCCTTTACTTTGGCAAATTTTAGGGTGGAAATCTGGTATTTAACACAATACACCAAGTATGTGACCTGTCACGACAAAATGAGAGTAAAGTCGCATCCC